TAAGTGTAAATTTTTTTTTTTCCCCCCAAGTTTTTGTTTTTTTTTTTTTTTTTTTTTTTTTTTGTATTTACTCAATACTTGTCAAATTATTTTGTTGCCAATGTAATCTATACAATCACTTTTGGAATTAAGAGATTGCTTGGAGTCTTCATTTTTATTTTTCTTCTTAATTCATAGTTATTGAAAATACGATTTGAGAAGTTAGCATTTATTTTCAATTTTTCATTGAATTATCTTCTAGAAAATTAGAAGGGTTTTTTGATTTGAAGTTATTGAATATGATTACATGCTAAGTTTGCAAGATAACTCATTGATCAATTTATCCTTGTACAGAAAGATAAGAAATTCTGAGATTAGCATCATTAATGATTTAGTTGCAATTTATTGTTAAAAATTTCAATTTTGAAACCAACAGAGGTTGGTTTAGGAGAGGGGGCTAGTCACCCACACAGAGGCAAACCATGTTTGAATCTATGTTAAGGAAAAAAACTCAGAATTAGTGCTCAACCATGTTCTCAGTTGGATTGTGTCTCCTATGGAGGATAACTATGCAAAATCTAATAATTTTTTTTTTGTTATGCAATTCTTCAAACTTTTAAACCAAGTTATTTTCTTTTCTTTGAATCTGGAAATAATTTCTTCATTATCTTTGCATCCACCTAAGAAGCCTTCTCTTGCTAAAGCCTATAATTCATCCTCTTCTTAAACAAAGAACTATTTTAAGTTGTTGTATAAAAATTTGAACAAGTATTATGGGAAGCAAAGCAGTTTCTCAATAAAAAAGAACATTTTCTGGCATTTTATCAAACTGTTCTTGTTAATTTGCTCTTAAACATGAGTAAATCTTCATTCTGATGCTGCAACTACATTTTTTATATCCATTTTAATTTGCGCGCATTTTAGGTGTACTGATCACTTGCCAGAAGACGTCCCAAAGGCATTTGATAGAACTTTACGGGATTTGCAACTGGACTATTTGGATCTCTACCTTGTGTGTAAATCATATTGCAATTCTTTTCATTCCTTCTTACATTAATTCCTATTATGTTTGAAATATTAGTGTCATTGAAATCAAGTGCTTATGTTAAAAACTTGACTTGTCATGTGGGTATATTCTTGTAGATTCACTGGCCAGTGAGCATAAAAGATGGACAGCTTACGAAACCTGACATACCTAGCACATGGAGAGCAATGGAGGCACTCTACAATTCTGGCAAGGCTCGAGCTATAGGGGTCAGCAATTTCTCTGTAAAGAAGCTTCAGGATCTGTTGGATGTGGCACATGTGCCTCCTGCTGTTAACCAAGTGGAATTGCATCCTTCATTACAACAGCCAAAATTGCATGCTTTCTGTGAATCCAAGGGAGTGCACTTAACAGTGAGTATACAAATTTAATGTCAACTTTTTTATAACTTATTAACTATGAAGTATCCATTTGTTTCACTGAATATTAATCTCCGTTAGAGAATCAACCTAACTACCAGGTCTTTCCTTTTAACCACGTTTTTTTCTCATCGAATTTACAAGACTTGAATTTGATGCATTACTTAAGGAGATCAAATCCAGTAACACTATGATCAATGACTTGTTGGTAAATTTAATTTAATTATGCACGCTACATAAGTATACATGTCTGAATATATGGCATTTGAAGGAATCATTGTATAGTAGACATTTTATAGCAACTAAAGTGTTAACATACAGAAAATTTGTGATTCTGAACTGCAATTTTGCTTGGTACTTGCTTACCATTATCAATGTTCTTATTCAGGGTTATTCACCACTGGGTAAAGGATACAGTTCAAGTAACATTCTTAAAAACCCAGTTCTGCACACAACTGCAGAGAAGTTAGGGAAGACTCCAGCACAAATAGCTCTTAGATGGGGACTACAAATGGGTCACAGTGTACTTCCCAAGAGCACCAATGATGAAAGGCTCAAGGAAAACTTTGATCTGTTTGACTGGTCTATACCTGCAGAATTGCTTGCCAACTTCTCTGACATTGAACAGGTAAGTTATTTCATGGAATTTTCTCGTCACTCGTTTGAGAAGAGCTTAATTAAGAAAACTGATTGTTTTTTCAAAATAAGTTTGCAAAATCTTTTTTACTTTTCATGTAGCATTTACTTGCTATACAAGTATGATATTTAAAAGTCAGTTTATGTGCTAACTGCTAAAGGAAAATCCAAGTATGTTAGGAAACTTATAGCATAAATACATGGTCTCATTTCAACTTTCTGATAACGCAGGAGAGAATAGTTCCTGGAGATGGTTTTGTTAGCAAGACATCTGCTGGGTACAAAACAACTGAAGAACTCTGGGATGGTGAATAATTATGGCCAGTTTCCATGTTGGTCATTGTTTTTCTCTTGCTTAATGCAGAATATTAGGCCTATCTTTGTGATTAATTTATAATGTATTTATAATTTGGGAATTAAGATGTGTTATGGAAGATTTGAAGTTTACATTAATAATTTGTCATTTTGGAATTCCATTGTTTTGAGTCTTGACCTCATGAATGTGTTTGATAAGACTATCGGAGAAAGAATAATGGTTATGTACTTTATCTTGTTGATTTATGGCTAATCATCTTCCGTAATCTTTATAATCTTTATAAGAGAAAGCAATAGTTTGTCTGACTAATTTATATTATTTATTTTTTTGTGCACTAAAAAATATAAAGTAATTAAGGATATTCTTTGGTAAATAAAATAATTATTGTAAGATATAATTTGAACATGATCTTATAAAATGGACACAAATTTCTCAAGAGTCCTATATTTAGTGATGGAGGTAATAGTCCGGCATTTTTGTCTATATTAAAAATATTTTCTCCTTATAATATTAGTATTTTTCTATCACCAAAAAAATCGTTTATTAAATTTGTGTCAGCTAATTTATTTTAATTATGGGATTATTGTTAACCACTACATATTAATATTTACTTGTTCTTTAGTTCAAACACTTATATCTAATATTTTTCAATGATAAAAGGTTTTAAGTTCAATTTCTTTGTGAATTATGCATGTAAATTGAGTATGCAAATTTCTTTACGTCTTTCAATGATCAAAGGCTTTAAGTCCATGTATATTTTAACAAATAAAAAAAAATCACTTTAGTCCCTAAATTTAGAGGACACTAATTAATCTTTAAAATTAAGAAATTATTAAACAAATCCTTGAAAGTGTAATTTAACAATCATTTTAGTTTAAAATTAAAAAAAAATGTATAATTAAAATGACAATATATATATATATATTCATGAGAAAAAATAATAATAAGTAGTTAAATTTAAAGGGTTATTTAACATCTAGGAATTTATTTGACAATTTTTTAGGTCTAGAAACTAAGTGTAAATTTAGATATCAAGTTAAAATCACGTTCAATAGAAAAATATTTTAATAAAAAATTAAATTTATGAGTTTAACTGACTGTTTTTTTTCTTTCAATCCTAATTAAATTGAAACACATTCTAATATGATAGTGCCTTTTAAATTCAGAAAGAAACTAAAGTGAATGTCTACCAAAAAAGAAAAAAAAAAAAAGTCATTCTCTGTCAAAAATTTCAAAAAGACAGAAAGATACAAACAAATGATTAATTTATAAATAAATAAAGATATATTTATTTAAGAGCATCTGTAATGAGATTGCTTATAAGTAATCCCATTAGAAATGCTCTAAGCACACGTTTTCTTATAAAATATCTAATAGTATTTAAAAATTATTATAAGTTATTTTAATCTATTGAGGATAGTAATGGTGGAATATATATATATATATATATATATATATATATGTATATATATATACTGTAAATAAAAATAAGTAAGATATAATAAATCATGAAATAAAGGTGAACCCACATTATCTTAAGGTTAAATTAATATCAAGGTGCTTAGTTTCACCTCATTTTTATCTAAGTAGCTATAGTTTATAACTTTGTAAAAAGTCTTAATAAATTTTATTTTTTTAAATTAAGTCCTCAGTGTCTAACATGTAAGTTCTATGATTTTCTAATACATCAATTATAGCTCATTTGAAACGGGCCATACTCAGTCGGTAATGAGAACAATGAAAAATAAAAGAATATTTTTCTCACCATAAGTGAGATAATTGTGCAACAATGAAAATAAAATGATATTTTCTCACCCGAAGTGAGATAATTGTACGACAATGAAAATAAAAGAATATTTTCTTCACCTGAAGTGAGAAAATATTATGAAAAGTGAAAAGAAAAAGGATAGATAAATAAACAAATATTATATAAGTGTTATGTTTGATCCTTTGAGTACCACCGAAAGTGGAATAATTCTATTAAGGTCATTGTTGCAGTATTATGTTTAATTTTCCGCTGCATGTTGTTTGTTTTGGATCATGAATGTAATTCTTAATTTTAATTATGATCAATGTATTAAATTCCACATTACTGAAATCCTAGTGGTAATCGCGTAAGAATTATTTTCTTGAAAGTTTCCTTTTTCTGAAATACCTAAATTTGTATATCAAATTGGAAAGAATTGATTTTTTTTTAAAATCAAATTTTGGAATTAAGTGTACGATGAATTTGTTAGTCACCAAAGTGACCAAATTTTATATTTATTTAATTCCACATTAATGATGATTTAATTCAATTACCCATAGAATAACGGATGCTAAATAATATTTTCGTTCATTATTATAAGACATTTATGTATCGCCCAAAGGTTGATTAGTTGTTCTCATAATCAATGAATATAATTGTGTGTGACTTATGTGTGCTATTAGATTATTTATACATCCAAAGGTATTAGATAATTCTAATTGGTGCATGTTTAGTTGCAAAATAATGATTAAATTTATTAGCATCATTATGTTTGTATGTTGTATGTTGATGTATCACCCAAAGGAGAACATCAATATACTATTAATTGATGTTTGAATATATTATATGTGTAGCATGTATTTTATGTCTCAAAACACTCATGAAAATTTTTATTATGCAGTATCTGTTCCCAATTCACTAAATTCTCTTGTAGCGTCTATTCCAATTTTTAATGGGCTTAATTTCTCTTACTGGAATGAGCAAGTCCAATTTCACCTCGGTGTTTTGGATCTAGACCTTGCTATATTAGAAGAGAAGCCTGCTACTATTACTGATTCTAGTAGTAATGAAGAAAAATCCTATTATAAAGCTTGGGAAAAGTCTAACAGACTCTGCTTAATGTTCATGAGAATGATTATTGCTGACAGTATTAAGACAGCTCTACCCAAAACTGAAAGTGCTAAAGAATTTATGGGTTTTGTGGGAGAGCGCTCTCAAACAGCTGATAAGTCTCTTGCTGGGACACTAATGAGTACACTGACCACCATAAAGTTTGATGGGTCACGTACTATGCATGAGCATGTCATTGAGATGGCAAATATTGCAGCAAGACTTAAGTCCTTGGGAATGGCTGTGAATGAGAATTTCCTTGTACAATTTATTCTCAACTCATTACCGACTGAGTATGGCCCGTTTCAAATGAGCTATAATACCATGAAAGACAAATGGAATGTGCATGAATTGCATAGTATGTTGGTTAAGGAGGAAACGAGACTTAAGAATTAAGGAAGTCACTCAATTCATTATGTAAGCCACCAAGGGAATCAAGGAGCTGGAAAGAAGTTTGTTAAGAAATATGATAAGGGCAAAAAGCCATTAAAGATTAATGAGGCATCTGTACCAATCCAGAAGAAAGCATCAAAGGGTAATAATTGTCAAACCAACATACTATGCAATTCATGCACATTCCATTTGTCTTTCATGGTATTATAGCTCATTTGAAACGGGCCATACTCAGTCGGTAATGAGTTGAGAATAAATTGTACAAGGAAATTCTCATTCACAGCCATTCCCAAGGACTTAAGTCTTGCTGCAATATTTGCCATCTCAATGACATGCTCATGCATAGTACGTGACCCATCAAACTTTATGGTGGTCAGTGTACTCATTAGTGTCCCAGCAAGAGACTTATCAGCTGTTTGAGAGCGCTCTCCCACAAAACCCATAAATTCTTTAGCACTTTCAGTTTTGGGTAGAGCTGTCTTAATACTGTCAGCAATAATCATTCTCATGAACATTAAGCAGAGTCTGTTAGACTTTTCCCAAGCTTTATAATAGGATTTTTCTTCATTACTACTAGAATCAGTAATAGTAGCAGGCTTCTCTTCTAATATAGCAAGGTCTAGATCCAAAACACCGAGGTGAAATTGGACTTGCTCATTCCAGTAAGAGAAATTAAGCCCATTAAAAATTGGAATAGACGCTACAAGAGAATTTAGTGAATTGGGAACAGATACTGCATAATAAAAATTTTCATGAGTGTTTTGAGACATAAAATACATGCTACACATATAATATATTCAAACATCAATTAATAGTATATTGATGTTCTCCTTTGGGTGATACATCAACATACAACATACAAACATAATGATGCTAATAAATTTAATCATTATTTTGCAACTAAACATGCACCAATTAGAATTATCTAATACCTTTGGATGTATAAATAATCTAATAGCACACATAAGTCACACACAATTATATTCATTGATTATGAGAACAACTAATCAACCTTTGGGCGATACATAAATGTCTTATAATAATGAACGAAAATATTATTTAGCATCCGTTATTCTATGGGTAATTGAATTAAATCATCATTAATGTGGAATTAAATAAATATAAAATTTGGTCACTTTGGTGACTAACAAATTCATCGTACACTTAATTCCAAAATTTGATTTTAAAAAAAAATCAATTCTTTCCAATTTGATATACAAATTTAGGTATTTCAGAAAAAGGAAACTTTCAAGAAAATAATTCTTACGCGATTACCACTAGGATTTCAGTAATGTGGAATTTAATACATTGATCATAATTAAAATTAAGAATTACATTCATGGATAACCAATGAAATATCCACTGATTGTTCTTGCATCCAAATTCTTTTCTTGTGGATTATAAATCCTTATTTTCGCCTGACAACCCCAAACATGTAGGTGCCTTAAACTAGGTGTCCTACCAGTCCACAGTTCAAAAAGTGTCCTTGAAATTGCTTTACTAGGAACCCTATTTAACAAATACATGGCAGTTTTCAAGGCATACATCCACAAATATATGGGTAAAGTTGAATTACTTAACATACTCCTAACAATATCCATTAATGTTCTATGACGCCTTTCTGATACACCATTTTGTTGTGGTGTACCTGGCATTGTATATTGAGCACAAATGCCACGTTTCTGAAGAAGTTTAGCAAATGGACCTGGGTGTTGCCCAGTTTCATTATATCTTTCATAATACTCACCACCTCTATCAGATCTTACAACTTTCACCTTTTTGTCTAATTTCCTTTCTACTTCATTCAAGTAAATTTCTAAGGCATTGACTGCTTGAGAACTTTCCAATAAATCTAAATGATGTCCGGTGTTAAGGATTAAACGATAAGTCCTGACTGCTTCCACTGGAACTTTCACTCTATTCCCCATGAAGACGAACTTCTCATTTGGGCTTATGGTTTGGATTGTAGTAAATCCCTGCATCGTATT